ATTAGTTCTGGGAGGCATCACAGAGAAGCAAACTTTGTTTGATCGTAGATTTGAAGACCAGGATGGCAAAACAGGTTTGGCTATCTGTCTGGTTACAGTCTTTGTTTGAACCTACAGGCGTAATCGGCTTTGGGGACTGGTCTGTCAACAGTATTGCAAATGCAAAACAAAAGAACGTTTGGGGAAACTCACTTTTAGCTACAGGTCAACTTGCATTTGAATTACCAGCATAGGCTACCTTACCTTACATGAGATTCTGCAGAATATTCCATTCAATTTTAACAAATTATTTATATAAGACATTCAAATATCGGTAGTTTGTACAGATTGACTATCCGATGAAGAAGCTGGCCATTGACTTCCTACCCTTACCAACTGTTAAGGGCAAGATGGTCCATTTTTGATCGCGAGAGACCTCAACTTGGGTCAAATTAGAGATGGTCTCTGATGAATTGCACTGCAGTACCGTTGCCAGCTGCTCTTTCTTTACTCTGTCATTAGATATGCTTAAAAGTACTGGATGTAATGGTCAGGAAAGGACCTTGAGATTTCTTGATGCGTCGTAAGCAAACTGTATTGAGCGAGAAAATAGATATGATGTCTCAAAAATGGACAGCAATATAAAATACTCACCCTTCGGCAATTTGATGAATACCTCATTCAGAGAGAGATTGTGCCGCACCGAATTCTTCCAGCCGGTATAGGGGCCGCGGAAAAAAGAGAACCGGTTGTGGAGGTACTGGTAAATTTCGCTTAGTGTGCAGCGTTTATCGCGAGAGGCCTGAATCGCCATGGCAATAAGGGCAATGTAGGAATAGGGCGGCTTCTCAGACCGTCTTGAGCCGGAAGCTGTTAAGGGTGAGAACAAAGAAGGCAAATTAGTCAGGATCATAGTGGTATGAAAAAAATGCGTAGGAGTTAGAAGAGTATTGAGTTCATTGGTAATAAGTCTTGAACATGAAATTACCCATAATTATGGTGATTTTTCAGTAAAAAGTCAATTTACAGCCATTTATGA